TTATTGACTTCGCTGATGCTAACCCAAACCGATATGCTGAACAAAGATAGAATAGCAATGCATCTCATATCGAACATCTTTTCATAATCAGAATATCGACAACAGAAATTATATTGACTTGGTCAAAGAACTTTATAATATCATATCGTTCAACATCAATTTATTTTATCGCACGTTTCTATATAGTAGGCATGAATTACCATTATTAGTACTATATGTTAAGGTATTAGATTCAGTGTATAGATTATTTCTCTTTTCTTCAGTAACACCAAATCGAAAACCTTTTCATTAGCTCGCGCTTAAAAGTAGAAATATATGTATGAATGACATACGTAATCAACGAAACGAATTAAGGTAGTCTATTTTTTGATTCCTTACAATCGTAAAAAAAAGTTCGAGTTAAGCTGTTTGATCAAGTTTCAATAATTAATCGTTTCTTATTTTTTTCTGTTCAATAGATAGAAACACATTTCATCATTCTTCTATATTCAAAACAATTTTTCTTTTGTTCTGCCTTGTATTTCAGTCCAGCTGACAAAGAAAAGAAAAAAAAAACAAATTATTTTTCTCTCTCACCTTCGATTACTTGCTCGTTCCCTCCTTTTTATTTAAAGAGTACTTGTCTAGGTTAGCTATAGGCTTAAATTTTAACCCATAGTGACAACGAAAGTACGATTCCTTGGAAGTAATGTATATCTTTGTTGTGTGCATGAGAAAATACCTACTTGACTCAGATGAACATTTTTTTTTAAAGAAAATCTTTCAAAATAAGCGAACGAATAAGACATCTAGTGTATCGTTAGTAAAAATGAGTTTTCTGAAAAGTTCTGATATAGATCAAGTTACAGTGATCATTTTCTATAAGATAGATAAAATATGAAGTCAGAATCACTTGTCAAGAATTAGATTAGCACTATTGGGATCATTATTCTTCAGTTAAACCATTCAATAAAGAAGATTCGCTACGAGTACGCTTATACAATCCGTTTTGTGAGACGTTTGAAGTTTCAGCTAATTATAAAATTAATAATTAATTTCCAATAGATGAATAAGCTACAGAAAATCTTATCACTGAAGAGGAAAACTGCTAGAAGTACTCCTACAAAGATGACAATATCATGTCCACTATAGACTCGAAGCTTGTGATAGTTCTCGCTGCACACAGAATATCGTCACTGTCTTTGATGAAACCGCTTAAAATTCTGATACTATAAGCTGATTGAAATAAAAATAAATTTAGTACTGTAAATCAAGTAGATCATTCGTCAATAATTATGCACTGAATCGTATTTTTCTAAGTATCAGCCACTTGTTCTATGACTACTTGTCCCTCATTCTCTTTAGCTCATCCTTGAACTGATCTCGACATTTAAAGATTGATTCATCCAATAATCTAGTTCATCAGTTATTTTAAATATGAAACTTGAGTTTCTCACTATCAAAAAGGATAGACATAAAATCTGTTAACTACAGAATATTTATTGCTTTATTGTAATATGATCGTGCATTGTATATGACATTTGAGACGAGCTCACTAATATTTGCGAAAGAACAAGTGAATATTGACATTCTTTTTTAACGAAATAGAATATTTTAAGTAAAAAACAACATAAAGCAAATAAGATTAGATTTTGATTTTCGAAAGAGTGAATAGAAAAAAAAAACATAAACTGAAAAGCCATCTTGTCCTAAGAATTACTATAGCTTTTTTGGAGTAACTATTCTTCAGGAATCGACATGAAACATTTATACGGTATGCCAAAAGTATCTCTACAACAATGTTTTTTCGTATGACAGCTGACACTATCAAGATTTTATTTATATGCACAAACTATGATAGTGCTGTTTAAAGTACTGATCATTAGCCGAGTCACAAGAAACTAATCTTTGTTATAGCTTTTTAATAATATTTTGCTGTTTTTCTTTTTTAACTGTTTGCCTTTGACTTGATATTGCAATTTCTCTTTTTTGAGAACACATCAAAACTAATTTCTACCAGACGACTGTTCAACTTTATTCGAGAGAAGTTCGTTGAGAAAGGTCAATTGATGAAGTTATGCGAAAAAAAAATTTCTGAGCAGAGATGTCCATCGCGATTGAAAACCTGACATTCCCGCGCCACGGCCTCAAAATGAAGAAAAGCTACCGCGATGATTTTCAAAACACTTTGTTGAATTTCACTACTGCGACTGTATTTACCCATAAATATTGGTACGTGTCCATTAGATTCATTCAGTCGCAAGCTATTTCGTTTAAAAAACATACAAAATTCTATAAATTCACACAGTTTTAAAATGTCCTCCAAAAATAATGCTGCCGCTACCGCCACTGCGATAGTGGCGCGGCGGCAGTGGCAGCGCCGTCATGGACATCTCTGTTTCTGAGTATGAACTTTTGGGATACTCGATACATTTGTCAATTCATTATTTACACGAAAAGTTTATTAATTGTTACCAGGCGTTTTCATCAGAAACATTCAAATTGTTAAAAATGTTTTATTTGTCGTCAAAAACACGTTCAAACGATGAAAGTTTCGATAACTCTGACTGTTTAAGCACCAAAGACATGTTCAAAAATTAATAATATTAAACTATTTTAACACGTTTCGGCGGTTATTGTGTCCGCATGAGTGAATTCAGCATTTCACCGCTTTTCCGAAGCATGTATATTACACTAGCCCGTGAAGCGCATTTGATCCTCTATGACAAGCCTAAACTATTATATCTCGGCAAACAACGTAGTGCCCAAAATCTGCTGAAAAGCTTGCAAACCATGTCATGTTCTCCAGAAAATATTTTACAGCTCCTATGATTCATGTCTCTGCAAACGATAGGAAGTTGAGAAATGCTTATATACTCGATTTGGTTATGACCTACAAAAAATTATTTATTCGTTCGATTCACATTCGATCTTTCAGAGATAACTGTTAGAGGAGGAATTGGTCTCTGTGGCTAATATGTCTGCTGTGTCTGTGTTTAACATGTGTTGGTGAGAAGCACTGACAAATATTATAGTGAAGAGAACATAGAAGCTCTCATGTTGCTCTGTCCGTCTTTGTACGCCCTCTACGGAGCTTGTTTATTGTCTCACACAAGACGTCGAATCGAATCGCAATCACGATCTCAGTGTGATGCAATATTTGTAGGGACAGCTTTGCATAATCTCAAAGCGGTCCGTCCGGTTTATTGTTGTGGCCGAGAGCGAACAGAAAAAGTGTTCACACTCAACAGGTTCCTTTAGATTTACGTATTTTCTATACGTCCTTTTGTGTATATCCGTTTCAATACTATCAAAACATGAAAATAGGATAGACTTTACTGTATAAATAGAGACGAGTATAGGTTGTAGCTCTTCGAACAGCACTTCATACTCGCACGCTGAGATGCAGATACAAAATGTTAGTTATGTGGGCAATTTTTCTTTTTAATTCTTCAATAATTGATTGCAACTTTCAAGTTTGACATGTGTCGCAGATTCAGAATTATTGATTGTACATAAAGAAGTGGACACAAAAAGGACGTATAGATTTTGAGGTATAAATTTGAATATATAAGTTTGGACAAACAGAAAAGAATGTGTCATAACTAATCTATGGTTTTATTTCAGATTTAACTATATTTTAGATATTTCTCAGAAGAGGCTCATTATCTTTTTATCGACGTTTCTCGAAGAAATCAAAGTGAATTATATATCTTAATGATTATTCTGGTGTGACTTTATTTTCAAAAACAATACAAAAGCACAACCATCAAAATAACACAGTGCATCATTGACCATAACAAGCTTACTAAAAGCAACTGAAGACTCTTAACATATAGTAGTATATTAAAACAGCCACGATTCACATAGTGAAATCTTCGACGAACAACAAATCCGTACTTGTCTCATTCAAGAGAACCAATTCGATCGGCAGAAACATATATCGACCATTCAAATCTTGTCAGAACTGCAAGGTAATAAATCGAAATTTGACAATTCACAACAAAAACCGAGTACTGAAAGATAAAACTTGAAAAATATTAATACACTGAATTTATTACTAAAATCATCACGAACAGAACAACAAATAGAAGAGTACGAAATATAAGAAACAGATTCTTAGTCCAAAAACGGAGAAAATATTTTGATACAATGAACAAACAGCGAATAGGTACATGATAGTTGCGCAGTGTTACATCCGCCAACTTGACATTTCCAACAGATAATCGCTCTTAATTTGAATTGTGTGAATCATTAAAAAGACAGTTACGACACGGTTTATACAAACTCGAAATCAGTGACGAGAAAGGGAGGAGATAAGAAAAAGGAAACAAAAGCGTCAAACTCTGACAAATAAAGGAAAACACGCGACTGCAGAACAATAACGAAGTTAACTGTTACCATTAGAAGAGCTTCCAGTATTACCAAATAAAATCAGAATTTTACAACCTCATCATTCAAGTATGACATATGAGAAGTTTCATGTTCAAGGAGTGACGGACCCTCCAAACAGTAAAAGAATTATCAGCGAACAATGGGAAGACGATACGATAACTAAAGAAAGCATACGAAACTTATATAGTGACTTTTCTTCTATGCCACCATGTTCAGAAAAATCTCTTATTAGTCTACAGTTTTATGTTTCTCTGAAACTAATTGGTAATGCAGCAGTTGCCATTGACAATATCGTAGTACCTGATCGAATAGAGACTGAAATAGAAAAAGAATGTGAATGTTTGAACGAACAGTTAAAAATTGAGGGAATTGAGTCCTTACAGGTTCAAAATCTGATAGAAACAGTATCGATAAAGGTAAAAGATCAAAATTGGAAATCTGTCTCTCTTATACTGGGAAGAATTTTAAACCTGATTAGACCTTTACATATACATGATTTATTTAGGCTTTTTGAGAAAGTCAACGATGCAGCACAACGAATAAAGGAAAAAGACATCATTCTCTTCCTAGGAGGAACTGGAGTAGGTAAATCAACTACGATTCACTTTCTTGGAGGTTCTAAATTGATGAATACACAAGTGAAAGGATTGAACCATATCCATCCTGCAGAAATAAGAAATCCAGATCTCAAAAAAGTTACTACTACACCGTTTGCCCGATCTGAAACTCGATGCATCACACCTGTTACGGTGAATTTTAAAGATGTTGGCGGTTATGATGATCGTATTTTTGTATTATGTGACAGTCCGGGATTTGAAGATACTAGTGGGTCCGAAGTAGATATTGCGAATGGAGTCGGTATTGTTCAAGCAATAAAAGGATGTAAAAGTGTCAAACTTGTTGTCGTACTTAGTTATAAGAGCCTTGGAGATAGGCTCAACGGTTTAAAAGTCATAACTCATACATTAGTAGGTTTAATACCCCATATCAAGGATCACCTCAAAGCTATTTCCTACCTATTTTCGAAGTTTCCTTCTAACGAAAGAGACACAATCTATCCATTATTACTCGACGCAGAAAGACATATGAATGAAGAAGAAAAATCAGACACTAACTTCATGCTTTTGATCGGAGATATGCTAAAAAAAACAAAAAAGGGACCTCTAGTTTTAGATCCAATTAACGATGATCCCGTTGAGTTTCTTAATCAATTTCTAGATTCTGATGCTATTCATCATCCGGATGAAGTTTTTCAGTTTTCTATTACAGAAAAGTCACGAGCTACTGTACATGAACAAGTGAGAAGACATCAGTTAAGTATTTTATCTGCAACAAATCGTTTCGATTATTTATTAGTTAAATACAAACTTGATCAATTGAAACATTTAAATGATTTAATTGATCAAGAGTACATCAAACAGATTTACACTGATTGTATTCAAAATATAAGTAAACATCTCTCGGAAGAATACGAAGAAGGTGTTTCATTTATGAATCGTTGTTTAATGAATCAAACAATTTTGAGTAATGAAGATGTTCGTCAGTATCAATCATATATTGATCATGCCAAGTTAGCAGACGAACTAAGACAAACTCATTTAGGAAAGGAAGTCGTTGATAGTACTGCATTCATACAATATGTAAATCAGCAAGTAGAAATTATGCTTATAGAACTAAGAGAAAAAGAAATCAATGATTCATTAGTAAGAATAATTCTGGACAAAATAAAACTTGTTTCGACTTTGATTACTGATATTGATCAGGAGAAATATAAACAAATTTGTCAAATTTTTGCTGAAAAATTTGAATCAGTAATTAATTCTTTTAAAAGTTCAGTATTATCTAATAAGTTTGATCAGTGTATTAGTGATATCACAAAATTACATGAAGCATTAACTGTTCTACAAGATCATTTAAATTATGAAGATATGAAAACAAAATATGTTCAAATGAAAGAATATTTTCTTAAATATTTAAATGATTCTGTAAGAAAATTGAATCATATGTTTAATCAAGAAAAATTGCATAAAAATGATATAGAAAGTCTAAACAACTGTGTTTGTATGCTAGAAACTGTTAAGAATATAATTACCTTTCAACTACATATCTCTAAAGAAGCAATTGATGATGTTTATGAAGATCTTTTGTCAAAAATTTTAAATTATTTTGAAGAGATTATTAAAAAAATTAATTCAGAACTGAATAATGAAAATGCATTTCATATATTGGAAATATTTTTAATCGAATTAGATTCAATCAGAATGATTTCTATTATTGAGTTTAAAACAACTCGATCTTACTATCGTATATTGGAAAAAATAATTGAATATCTACGTCAATCAAAAAGAGATGCTGAACAGTTATTAACAAATTTATTTCGACCAGAAGGAAAAGTTAATTATAATCAACTGAAAAAATGTCTCATGAGTTTAAAGAGTGCCCAATGGATAGAAAAATATCGAGCTGGTGCATATACAGATGTCATGAGTGATGTTGAAGAAAAATTTATTGAAAATATGAAACAAATGAAAGTATCTCTTATGGAAATGACGTTAGATCTTGATAGTTATAATAAAATCGATTCAGCATATAAGATAGTATCAGAAATGAAGGAAATGAAAGATTTTGAGGAAATTTTTACCGATGTCAATCAATATTTAGTTGAAGTTCATTCTTGGTTTGAAAATACAATATATAATGTTTGTAATATTATTAAAGATTCATTTAGCTTAGAAAAACTCAAGGAACAAGAACACCAAAGTCTAGATTTCAACAAAGCTGAAAAAGCATTTCATTATTTGGATGCTTGTAAAAAAATTCGAATATTATCGAAAAATTATTATATGTCCGTCATGAAAAGTTTGGAAGAGTGTATCAGATACTATATTAGTTTTGTTCAAAATGAAATGCAAAGTTGTTTTGAAAATATCAAACAATTTCAAAGCACGCATAAAGAAGAAATGTTGGAAAAAGTTCACACACTATCAACTTTTCTTCAAGAAGTTCATGAAATAAAAACAACATATTCTTGTGTTTTTTCTTGTTTCTTAAATGGAAAAATTTTTGAACAATGGCAACAAGAATTATCAAATTACCGAATGGAGTTAGTAAATGAAATGGAAACATTGTGCATCATTGACCAAACTGCGGCTTTAAAGAATAAGCTATTGATTGCAAGAGCATTAAGTAGATTAGATAGTTTTTTGGAAGGAGAAAAGTATATCGATGTTTATATTAGATATCAAAATGAATTTCTTTCAAAAATGAATAACGCTTCCGGAAAAATAAGAGATGCTATTCAAAAATATGACTATGAACAAGTCGCTCGTGAATTAATAAAATTTAAGTCATTAGGTGATGTAGGAGAAGATCTTTTTAAACAAGCTAAGCAAGCACTTAACCGAAGTTTAGATCTCTTCATGGAAGAAACCAAGTATCAAGCAATCATGCTTGGAAATAATCTAGAAATAGAAAAAATAAAATTATTAGTAGATAATTTAAATCGAATACAAAAAGCAAAACAATATGTATCACAATATCTTGATACACCAGATGAACTAGATAAATGTGTAGCAGATGTTAAAATAATGATTGAAGAGCGGCTCAAACGCTTCTTACAAAGGGTACAAGCCTTCATCTATGTCAATAATTTCTATGAAGTTGAACAGAAAAAGGAATATATAAATTTAGTGCATCATTTGTTAGGTAGTTATTGTACAAAAGTTATTTCCGATGAAATCAAAAGAATTCAAGAGCGTCAAAATCATGTTATATTGGTTGAAGTAGTTCAAAAATATTTCGATATGGATATTGACATGTATGTCTTGAATTCACCAACAGATATATTCGAAAAATTCGAAGCAGTTAAGAACATAAATCCAATATATAATCAGGCCTTAAATAAAATAAAGGAAAACATTGTCAGTAAATTTAGAAAAGAATTGGAACTCGCAAAATTGTCGATGCCTCCAAACCCGAACAATATTCATATAAGAAAATTCGAGTCTGCTGTTAAGTGTTTACCAGAAGCCATGAGAAGTGCTCTCGAATCAGACCTAAAATATTGTAAGAAAGATATCAATTCTATGATACAAAACAATCATAAAGAACTTCAAAATTTGAATAGTAGTGAAGATTCAAAAACTATTAAAAATCCTCGACAATATCAAAGTTCACAAAATATGCAATCTTTAATTAGTCAGACTCGAGAACTTGTTTTGATACAAGTTCAAGAAATAGCCGATCAAATAAATCAAAATTTCGAACAACATGATGTCACTGAAGCATTAACTATTGTAAAAATTTTATACGAATATAAAAATGAACTAGACACTATTGTCACACATGTTAGACAACCATATTCAACAGTACAATCTCAAATAAAAATTAAATTTGAGAATGCATATATTTGTTTTATGAATCAATTTTTACAGAATAATACATTTGAGATAACTAATGAATTAGTTGAGACTATAGAGAAAAGTTTTCTTTGTTTAATCGAATTTATTAAATTCAAAAATAAGTTTAAAGATCAACCTATTTTAACTCATACACTTCCAGAAGATTTCAATGAAAAGCTAATCGTATTGAATAGAAAAACTACAGACTATTTTACCATACTTCAGAAAAAGTATGAAGATGCTTTAGAAAAATTCGATATTTCATCTTTGAAAGAAACATTAGACTTTATGCATAAGTGGAATTCATTAATTATGAAAATGAAAAATGATGTTCGAATGTATAATATCAATGATACTTTAGTAAATAGTATGATGAAGGCAATCATAGAATTAACTATTTATCCACATATGTTACATTGTGTATCTCAAAAATTTCAAGAATTACAAGATGAAATCATTCATCAACAACTTATCAATAAGGAGACAACAGAATCGTCCCAACAACGAGAGAAATTTTATAGAAAACTCAACGAGAAATTTCTCATTCTAGATAAAATTAAGTTGCTTAGTAAACATGAATTAAATATTGATGTAAATACAGCTAAACAAGAATTTTTGAAATCATTGGAGACAAAAATCACAGAAATTTTTAATAGTACACAGACATTTTTGAGAAAATTTTCCAAAGAATCTGAATTGACAAGTCAGAATTGTCATAATTTTAATTTATACTATGGTAATTTATTATCATATCGACGAGAAATGAAAGGGATGAATTTTAGAATAAATGAACAAATTGACAAAATAGAAAAAATAATTTTCGATAAAATTTATACATGGGTATGTATAGTTGAAATAGATTCATCAGTTTCAAATATTTCTCTCAGTTTAATCAACATGAAGCGTGTTTCAAATAATATTCCATTGTTTAAGTTTAAAATAAATCGAATTCTAGAACAAGCACTCAATCAATATAAAAATAGAACGAAAGGTACTATGAATTTTTCAAAATTAGGCGCTATTTTAAATCAAGATGTGAGTGGTATAGGTCAAAGCATTGTTGATGAGATTAAAACATTTCAAGGTTACACATTATCTTTGTTTAATGAGAAAACTCAACGGTACGATATTAATTATGTATTAAAAAATTTAAAGGGTGACTTTATTGATATAGATCAATTAACAAAGAGATATAGAGAATTTCAAAATATCTATGATAGTTTAATCAAAAAATATTTTAAAATTGATATCGACTTACAAAAACTTATTGCAAATACGAAATTAATCGCGGTGAATATTAAACAGACGTCAGACGTCAACAAATGGGACTCACATGTAAGAGATGGAATTCCAATGTTATTAGCGCATATTTTTGCTTTGTGGACATTTCAAAATGCAAATTATTATTTTAAAGCCGGAGATGTAACGAATCCAAACAACTATATTCTTAAGCCTCATGCAGCTCAAATAGTTTCAATATTACGTATGCTCGGCATAGGCGATAACAAAGAAGAATTAAGAAATAATTTAGTACAAATAGACACTGGAGAGGGAAAATCTGTAGTATTAGGAGTCATAGCCACAACATTTGCACTACTTGGTTTCGATGTAAGTTGTGTATGTTATAGTGAATATTTAAGTCAGAAAGATTACATAAGATTTCTGCCGATATTTGATTCATTAGATCTACTTCAATATATTCATTACGGTACCATTAATAAACTCTGTGAAGATATAATTAGTCAAAATAGTGACATTCGTCATATAGTAGAACAATTGATATCAATCGGTTTTAATAGAATTGCACGAAATAGTCAATCGAATGAACGTGCTAAAATATTATTGATTGATGAAGTTGATGTTTTCTTTAGTCGAGATTTTTATGGTAATGTATATATACCATCAGCTAACTTACGAGATCCTACTATTACATCACTAATCAATTTTATTTGGTCACAAAGAAAATCAAACTTAAAACTCAATCAAGTAGAAGCTACAGCTGAATATAAAGCTTGTTGTCACACATTTCCAACTTGGGAACCTTTGATTCGAGAAGCTGTCAAAGATATCATTGATGATATACATAACTTTGAGTCTTATGATTATGTTGTTAAGGAGGATAAAATTGGATATATAGAACAGGATAATATCGTATACAATGTTGTTTATAGTTATAAGACTTTATTTGCATATTATTATGAGCATGAAAAAGGTCAAATAACTAGAAAAAGTTTAGAAGAAAAAATAAGTATAAGAATAAAGTGTGGTAGTTTTTCATATGCTGAGATACCACTTCAGTTTAAATATATAATGGGTGTTACAGGAACATTAGAAACTCTAAGTGATCCTGAAAAACAAATTATACAAAATGTCTATAAAATTGGAAAAAATACATATATTCCATCGATGTTTGGTAAAAAGAATCTTATGTTTAGAATAGAAGACGATATCATAATTGAAAATAGTAATGATTATTTCAATACTATTAAAAGAGAAATTGATAATAGATTAGTAGGCAAATCATCAGAAACACGTGCTATATTAGTTTTTTTTGAATCAAAACAAAGATTAAAAGAATTTTATGAGTCAAAGGCTTTAGAAACAATAAAACAATCAGTTGCTTATTTAACAGAAGAAGCATCTTCAGAAGAAAAAGAAATTGCAATTAAACGTGCCACTGCCTCTGGCCAAATAACTTTATTTACTAGAACTTTCGGTAGAGGAACCGATTTCATATGCTATGATCCTAGTGTTACTGCAAATGGTGGCACTCATGTCATTCAGACATTCTTTTCAGAACACTTGTCAGAAGAGCAACAAATCAAAAGTAGAACTACCAGACAAGGTGATTATGGATCTTATAGTATGGTATTACTTGATGATGATTTGGAAAAATTTCTCATTCAAAAGGAGGATATTGAAAATGTTAAGAAAGGTAGAGGAATTCAAGTTTGTCTTCCAGGTTCGCCTGTTTCGACAAAATTCTATAGGACAATATACGATCTTCTCCATGATAAACGTACTATTTTATTTAAAACTCTATATGAAACTAATACAAAATTTATTCGACAGATGAAAGAAAGGCATGAGGCTACTCAAAAATTTCTACTAAATCTCAATTTGGGAGAGGTCGATTTCGCCAGAACATTTTTAGTAAAAGAAAATCAAGGAGTGGATACTATTTCCCATCAGTCACGGACAGTTTCCTTAAAGGAAGATAAAAAAGAGAAGGCTTCTGTTGAAACATATAGACAAAAATTTGTGAAGTCCTATACATAGAGCAGCCATTATTTTCGACAATATATTTTCAAGCAATATTTTCGATATCAAAATTTAGTACAGAAAAATAAATTCCTTAAATACAATGAAAGTTGATCTTATCCGAACTAAACAGCATTTACATGTAGTCTAGGATCAACACAGCTCGTACTTCTATTTTTTGTTCTGTTTTGCCTTGAAGTTTTTTGTCCACTAGCTCTGACGCATTCCTTTGGTCTCCTACGCTTTACATGAAGCTGTGTGTTCTTTTTTTATATGAAGTCACATTCCTTTGTATTCTTTTTTGTTTGATAATATTGTATTACATGTTCTACCTTAAACTATGTAAGAATCCTCTCTATTATTTACTTTTTTTTATTCAAATATAATCTTCAAAATAACATAGAATCATGAAAACAAAATTTCTATTCGAAGTATCAACCAATATTTCTTTTTCAACAATAGAGACTTTGGACTAGTCAATGCAACAATTATAATGATTGATTTTTTCTTTCAACAATGTACTTTCATTTCTCAAAACAAACGACAAAAAGAAAAGACATCCATAAACATGTCTCATCTCTTATTGACAACCTACGAGTAATGGATATTGTAACAACTAAGATGATAATTGATGATGATCAATGACACTCACTGACTCTCTAAATTTTATTGCTTTTCTTTTTCATATAAAGCAAAAGTTTGAAAACCGTGATGTGACTACGAAAAATCGTACCTATACAAGACACTAGTTCTTGTCTGAATCATCGACAAAGAAACAACTTTAAATAGACGAGTTGCAAAAAAGTGTAACTTCTAAAAAGTCAATATTATAGTGCATCATTCAGTTTCACTTTCATTATTATGAATTAGAAAAATATTGAAAAAAATAAACAACTACATAGAATAATTATTATACTCGGAGATATTATTATCGTGTTACTAGGTATTTGATTAATCTGCTTATATAGTTTAATCATATACATAGATGATGCATTTGAATCAGATGGATAATCAATATTTGATATATTAAAATTATATTTAAAATTTTGTTGATAATTATGTAAATAAAATCTTGCTTGATGATCCAAAAGTAAGCTTCGAGTTATATTAGACATTTCAATATAAAGCAAACTTTGAAATTCACGATTTGTAACTAAATAAATATCAATTTGAATATGTAGTGATGGATTTCTACGTCGTTCATCAAATTTACAATGTATATAATTTATTGTTCGAAAAAAACCATCATTGATAAAATATTGTCCAATGCGTTCATCGATTTCAGATAATTCAGGTATACGTGTATTTGAATCATTTGTTATTGGTGAAATAATTGGTGGACGACATATATGTCTAACATGACCGGATATTGAATTATTGAGACTAGTACTATGACGGCGATGATCAAGAAATAAATGTAATTCAGTCCATAATCTATTTAGGTGACTTTTATTACCATACGATAATTCTAAAGACCATTCATTCATTCGAGTACGAAGAATAATATGTTCATAACGTTGTTGATTAAATAAAAATTTTGTATTTATTAAAAATCGTGTTTCAAGCCAATCATCTTCAGACCAATTCGTAAAATTAGTTCCATATGAAGAACTTGTTAGGGTTAATGCAATATTCAATCGATAAATGAAAACTATACATAAAATTTGCCATATTAATGGTAGATTCATGCTGCAAACAGAAAAAATAAAAGCAATAATATTGATCAGCAAAAGCTACCTTAGACAGCATATTTATATAGACTTTGAAATTGGATACAACGTTTTTTTTTGCACTACGTCATTTGAAGGTAAAAGAAATGATTCTATTTAATAGATCGGTTTACGTCGATTTTTAATTATTGATCTATTTGATACTCAAGACTAAGATTTCTTAAAAAAACACAACATAATAACAAAACATAAAAAGTGATGGTCGTGGGATGGCAACGGAGCGTTATTTTCATTATATTCAGCCTTGAATTGATAATCCGCTACCTTCGGACCATCATTTATGAATATCTAGGAAGTTGTTATTATCTTGAAAATAGATTGATCTTGTGTAATTACATAGGATAACAGGAAGGAATACGTACAAGCAGGAAATATCGATTATAGATCGATCCTATCCTACAGAACACTAAAGATGTCTTTTTTGTATATATGTATCCCCTCTATGCAACATATATGGAATAGCTAACATCATCAATTATTTCTTCATAATGTTGTTCTTTCGATTCCTATTTATACTACCATTATGCTTTTCTCGTATACTTGTGTAGTTATAACCGAAATTTCTTCTTTTTTTGTTTTTTTTGCTAAAAATCAGAGAAAAAAAAACTATAAGTTCTAATAATTTCATGATGCCAAGTTAATGTTAGCAAACAATTAGAAAAATTACAAGAATGCAAGAAGACAAAGAAATTTTTGTTATCAACATATAAGAGTACATGAGATACAATTACAAGATCTTCAATGAACTCTTAATAGTAATGTTTGAACGTTTTAGAATCTAAATAACCAATCATGTAATGATGGTATAAATAGAAGTCGAAACAGGAATAGGATAAAGAAAGCATTGATAAAAGAAAGTTTTGTCAATTTATTTTTCGCAGAAGCTAATCTACTTCATATGACAGTAAAATATATGAGTTTGTCGCAATGAGCAATATGAAACTCGTTGATTGTTACTTGAAGACGTACGAATGATCAATCAAAAGGAAGATTTCAAAACACATAATAAAAAGTGATGGTCGTGGGATGGCAACGAAGTGTTATTTGTTTTTTTAGGTAAACCTATTGATAATCCGCTACCTTCGGACCACCATTTATGAATATCTAGGAAGTTGTTATTATCTTGAAAATAGATTGATCTTGTGTAATTACATGGAATAACAGGAAGGAATACAGATAAGCAGGAAATAGCAACTATCGATCGATCCTATCTTATAGAACACAAAAGATTTTTTGTATTTCCATGTACATATAGCCTTTTATTGTTTTATTCTGGTTTTAATCATACAATTATTTTAATTCGAAGTATGCATCATGTTTGCAATTTAATTGTATACAATTTAGAATTGTAGTGAAACTCTCTATAGTGAACATTAATCATGAATTCAAAGAGAATATCGCGATGACTATCATCAAGCATTCAGCATAATGACATCTTCTTATTGATCGAGTCATGGAATAACAAAAACAAAAAGGGTCCATCCTTTGTTTATTATCTATACAACCGTATTGAAACATGTGTCTTTGTGCTGCCATTACTATAAGAAAGAGATCATTATGTTGAATCGATGAGTTTTGACTCTGGAACAAAAGATTTCTTTAACCAAAGGCAATTAAAATGGTCACGATTCATTAATTTCATCTTTTGACGTCTACTCAATAGCTTCTGCTAAATGTTCTCATTTCTTATCTTGAATTACAATTAACTGATATTCACTGGGATTCGAAAGTAACGAAACAAATTTCTATCAATGGTTGTTTTGATAATTGTCGATTCTTGTGTTTTCTGAAAGAATAAAGTAATAACATGCTCTATTCAATTATCTAATTCATTAATAGTTCAGATGCTTAGAGACGTGTGTACTTCCTTGAAAGAGACGTTATCTTTACAAGACACATTAGCTTTCTATAGCGACCAGTTTTCAAAAGTTTAAAGAGTGTTCACCATAGAGAAATTTGACTGTATGTACGAATCAAGATTCCATTATTTTTATGCCTTTTACATAGAGAAGCATTAAAAAAATGCCAACGAAATAGTATTTCACAACAGCAATTTGTCGTTTTGCAATTTAAACTCAATGACGTCATCTACTCTCATCATATCAGTCTATTATCTTTTTTCAACATTGATAAACAAATGAATTAGCATTGTCATACTTACCTATATAAGAAGAACTAAAACTGACCGAAGCAGTTAGTAATACAACAATGTCTACAGCTTATTTATTTCAAAACGAAATTCCTCCAACATCAATCTTAGATCCAGATAGTCGGGATCCAATGGGAATCAATAAACATCTTCAGGTACAAAAATATAAACAAACTAATATTCTCTCAACTTGTTTTTATTTTATTAGCTTAATTTTTTTAATGTTATTGCTGAACCTGATACAAGTGCTTATAATTTTGAAGTACTTCATAGACTTTTACATCAAGTTTATCATTATAGTAAAGTTTTTATTTATCGTTTTTTAACTATTCTTATCGGCTTACCATTAATGTTATGTTGGGGTCTTCTATTTGGTAGTTATACATTTTCAATGATATGGGTTGCTGTACCTATTCGTCGATTATGTCAATCATTAATTGCGGAATCTGGTTTATATGTTCAAACAATAAGTGATGCTCTTATTGGACCAATACATCGTTCAATGGGACAGATATTTTCTGGCATTCGTGTATCTCTTTCTAAAGTAGATATTAATGCAACAAAACAAATTCAAGTGTAAATAAATATATAAATTAAACCATGAATATTTATCTTCAATAAAAATTATTTTTTTTATTTAATCTGTAACTTAATAGAAAGAAGATTGTTATCAATCAATGAATTTTTTTTCTTCAACTAATAATTTTTACTAAAGAAATAAAAACTATCTCTATATATTGTCTAATAGTAAAAACAATATTCTACATGTCATTGATATTTAATCATTTTTCAATATACATATTAGAGTTTAGAAGAAGTAATCGTGGTAGAACAAAAACGAAGTGTATAAACAAGTTCATTAACTCTTAATTTTCATTAAATGTTCGAAATAATTGTGCTGGTTATTCACACTCAATTACATTCATGAACTTACCTCTGTATTTATTTTTTGATTTATCATTTCCATGTTTTGTATATTCGAAAGTATATAGACGGCTAAATATTAGAAGAGTTCAGAAAAAATAACAACAAAGAAAAATCAAAATTTTCTTATAATACTAGTTGAAGAATGATTAAATATCACAGAAATGTTCTATTCTTAATATGCCCTAAATGATAACAAGTATCATCTCTGTTTCATGATAATTTTTATTAATATAAGATAACAGTATAAAAGTGAATATAGAAAAACATTCATATGACTAAGGAA